GTCTTATGACCTTCAGTCTCACTCATAGCCTGTAAGGCAAAATGATCATCAGTATCTGTATTGCTATACAGTAGCACATCACCATCAGGGCAGTAGATCAGCGATTTTACCGATGAAAAAGCTAAGTCCTGATCACCTGTGTTTTTCTGCACACAGCGAACTCTGCCACACTCCCATGTCTTCATTTTTTCCACTTTGAGATTACATGACTTTACTAAGCCATGTAAGTGGTAGCTGGCAGGCCCAGGACCCAAACTCAGCCTCTGGACTCAAAATTTTAGTGCTGTCATTGGATCATCTAATGATATTTTCCTGAAAACCTATCATAGTTTCTCTTCAAATTTGCACCCTCAGCCACAATATTGGGGACATTAGTGATTTTCTTTAGATTATGTTGTGGTGATGCACAACCTGAGTCAGGGGCTTAAACAGGAAAGATTTATTTCTTACTCACATACGCACCAGCTGCAAGTCAGCAGCAACTCCCATCCAGCTCACTTACTTCTTTACTCTGGGGTCCAACGGGGATGGCTAAACCACACAAAGGCTCTTAAAGCTTCTGTTGAGACTTAGATCACATAATTTTTGCCCCCATCCACTGGCTAAAGCAAGTCACCTCATAAACCTGATGTTGATGAAGTGAGGGGATATATTCTTTCCATAAAAGAGGTGCTGCAAGCCAATGGCAACAGGTAGGGATGTCAAATCTGTTGAAGGGAGGGCAGTAAATAATCTACCACAGCCACCAAACGCATGTCGGACCCTGAGGACACAGAGATGAATGGGTTTCCTGTCCTCAAGATGCTCACTGGCCAGGGAAACAAAATCATAAACAGATAGTTCCAGCATTCTTTGGGTAGAAGGCTATGCTAGTCCTTAGCCTGTTTGTTCTCATCCTCGCCCTTCTCTGTGTCTCTCCTGCAACCCTGTCTGGGATGTTTACCTTTGCAGGCTGTGTTCCCCGACTCCTGTGACAGTGGTTTCTGGGTGGGTTTAGACAAGGGAAACCACTGGTAGGTGACCAAAGGTGGGGAAAGGAAGAAAACCCAATATTTTCCCCCGTGGTGGCTAGCTCCTCCAGCAGAGGCTGCTCCTCCTCTCTGACTCCTGCTCCCATAGATCCAACTTGCTTAAGCTCTAGTAATAGTAATTTTTGCTGCTGATAATCTCTGGATTTTATCACTCTTCTGTTTAGGTTCTCAGTTCTTCCATCACCTATGTAACAAATTTCCTATGGTTTAAATGATAAGGCTAGTTCCCATTTTCCTGATTAGAATCTGACCTAAACAGTAATGCAAGGTGCTATGGGAGTTCAGGGGAGAGGTACATTTTCTATTTTGAGTTCTAGAGATGGGGTGGAGGACAGAAACGGAGGGCTTTCTGGCATCAGGCATCCCACAGGTGTATAATGAAGGTCATTAGGAATAGAAGCTAGAGAGGATAACCTGAGCAAAGACAGGCACAAAATGGGTAGGGTGTGGTGGCCCATGCCTGTCATCCTACACTCTGGGAGGCCGAGGCAGGTGGATTGCCTGAGCTCAGGAGTTTGAGATCACCTGGAGCAAGAGTGAGACCCCGTCTCTACTCTAAATAGAGAGAACTAGCTGGGCATAGTGGCAGTTGCCTGTCATCCCCTCAGGAGGCTGAGGCATGAGGATTTCTTGAGTCCAAGAGTTTGAGGTTGCTGTGAGCTACAATGATGACATGGTATTCCACATAGGATGACAGAGTGAGACTCTGTCTCAAAAAAAAAAAAAAGGCACAAAATGAGAAAGCATTAATGTTTCTAGAGCATAATGTGAGCCAGGAAGATGAAGCTGAAGAAGTAGACAGAGGCCAAGCCATGCAAGGTCTTGGGTATTAAGCCAAAAAGGCTGGATATTGAATTAATCGGACCTCGTCCAATTCCACTGGCACAAATCCAAGTTAAATTAGCTCAAGTTATGAGGACAGGGCGTAGCTGAAACAAAATAGAAAAGAAAGTCACTGGATATGAGATGTTCAAGAAATTAGGAACCCAAGGTATTGGACAGATTAGCCACATGACAGTTGAAGTTCTCGAGAATGAGAGCAAGCCTGGGGTAGTGAGCAAGATAAGGTCCAGGGGATGTGAGCTGAGGTTGTTAGATGATGGAGACATGAGAGGCTGGAGAGGGGATTTGAATATAATGATGGAGGAGGAATGTTTTGCCACAGTGTTTGGATGAGGAGAGGTGGGTTTAGCTGGTTGCAAGTTTCTAAATAGAATTCTGAGGTCAAATTCAGAAGAAGGCAGTGTGGACGCAGTCTATGAGTCCGTGACAGCTGCCTCTGAACAGGATAGGTAAACACGATCATCTCAGAGGGTGGGCAAACATCTCAGATTCAGGTAAGACTTGAATCCCATTAAAAACAGCGGAAATCTCATTGTTCTGAAGCCAATTAGACGGAGGAAAGTGTTGGGGGCTAGTCTACTTAATTGGTTGTCATCTTCCTGGCCTTGGATTCTCAGCTCCTCAGAATCCTTATTAATAAACCTGAGAGAATGGTTACCATCTGGGCCACTAACGAAGAGCCTTTAAGGAATCTGACAGTAATTGGGCAAGGGTGCATTTGGTGTTATTCTGCTGAGCAAAAGCGACCCTTGAGCTGGCTCCAGGGGTCCTCAAACTTTTTAAACAGGGGGCCAATTCACTGTCCCTCAGACCGTTGGAGGGCTGGATTGTGGGCCCCAGGACAAGTCAACTGCTAAGCAGGACTGGCAGCGGCGGCAAAAACACTCCGCAGGCTGGATAAATGTCCTAGGCAGGCTGCATGTGGCCCTTGGGCCATAGTTTGAGGACACCTGGTAGACCTATGAGCTGGTAACTTGAATCAGAGTTCTCATGCTTTGGGTTTCTTTGAGAGAATAGTAAAGACATCTCCTTGGAATGACATATGAGCTTTCCAAGTGTCTGCCACCACTTTGGGTTTTCTGCTCCAATGGTAACAAACGGTCCTTCTGGCATATACCAAGGCTGATTTTGCCCCCTTATCTGTGCTCATGCCACTCCCCCAGTGTGCTCCGCCTGCGTGTGCTCCACAGACACTCACACTCATGTATCTTTGTCCAGCTGACAGTTGCTTAAGTATCAGCTTCTCAAAGAAACCTTCCCTGCCCCAAGACTTGGTTGGATGCCTCTTCTGTGCCCTGACAACCCCTTGGCTTCCCTCTATTACAACACTTATCACTATAATATTGTCAATGTGTGTGTCTTCCACACTAGACTAGAAGCTCCTCACGGGTAGGAACTGGCTGATTCACCTCAATGCCGTCAGCGCCCAGCACCAGGTCTGCTGTGCTTGTGGAGGTGAGCTTTCGTGGCCCCATCCACATGCCGCCAGCTGTGCCCTCAGTGCTCAGTCCCACCTCCTTCACCCAACTGCTCATTCGGCCTGCACTCGCCAAGCACCTGCTCCTCTGGCCAGTGCTGGGGCTCAGATGGACAACACAGTCCCTGTTTAGGAAGCTAAATACTATGGCAAAGGGAAGCACAGAGAAGAATGAAAAGACCTTATCAGAGCTGAGTCCTGAAGAATGAGAAGTCATTTGGGCGAAGAAGAAAGAGCTTTCTCAGTTCTGACTGTAAAGGCTCACGTCCTTACTAACTTCAAGAAGCTTCCTCTCCCTCCTCCACCGCCACTCTCTTCCTCTGCTGCATTCCTTAATGGCTTCTATTTTTCCCTACCTGAGTAAGAATATTATTTCTTGTTCTGTCACCGTTCCAACTGGGAGAGAGACAAGGAGGCTTAATAGGATAGGGCCCTGACCCATCTCTGAGCCTCAGTCTTCCTGTAAACTACAATCGCTAACCCTTGCCTTGCCCCACCCCGCTCACAAGGCTGCTTTGAAAATTGTGTTTGTGAACAGTTAAGGACTATGCAGACGTGAGAAATTGACACTCCCCTTAGTGTGTTTTCTCCATAACTAGATGGATCTCCCTGTATCTCTGACACTCAACATAAGATGTGGCACAAAGTCAGTGTTCAGTAAGGGCCCGGTTTATTGACTGACCCTACATGATAAAGAAAAAGAGAGTTTCCTCAAAGGCCCTGGGAGATAATGGAGGGGCAAGGGAGCTGGGACTAAGATGGGCCAGGAACATACGGGAAAGAGAATTGCGTTGTGTTTCACATACATTTGTGCATTTTTTTTTTTTTTTTTGAGACAGAGCCTCAAGCTGTTCCCCTGGGTAGAGTGCTGTGGCATCACAGCTCACAGCAACCTCCAACTCCTGGGCTCAAGTGATTCTCCTGCCTCCACCTCCCAGGTAGCTGGGACTACAGGCGTCCGCCACAACATGCACTGCTATTTTTTGGTTGCAGCCGTCATTGTTGTTTGGCGGGTCTGGGCTGGATTCAAACCCACCAGCTCAGGTGTACGTGGCTAACGCCTTAGCCGCTTGAGCCACATGTGTGCATTTTTTTTTTTTTTTTTGTGTGTGCATTTTTAATTCTCATTATCACCATATGAGGTAGGCAGTATTCTCCCCATTCTCCAGATGAGGAAACAGAGAGAGTGAGTAGGCAACTTGTCCAAGGCCACACAGCCGGTAGCTAACAGAGACTCTATTCAAATCCAGGCTGGCCCCAGGTCAGTTCCTGCTGCCCACCCGCACAGTGTGTCCTGTCTTCCCCTCAGTGCCAATTCTCAGAAGGGATTTGTGATTTGTGCCCCTGGGCCTGCTTGTGCCCTTATCATCATCCAAACTAATCGTTAAAACCCATGGACTGACTTATCTGTTTGCCCTTTTCCTAGACAAGCAATACACTCCCCCCACTTTCCCAAACATTGCCACTTGCAATAAGGCAAAGACCGAGGAGTCTGGTTTTTTGTGATATTCATTAAGGAGAAGCTGCATACTGGAAGGTCTCTGAAGTGAACAGGGTTTCCAGGGCCTGAATATAATGAGCCAGCAGGTGCCTCCCTCTTCATCACGTGTCTGCAATTAGCGGGCACTTCTGCCGCTTGCCTTTCTCAGGTCAGGAAATGGGCCGCAGGAGAGGCTGTCACCGGGAGGTGGGCTGGCAGGAGCTGTGAGCGCCTTCCAGCTGGGAAGGCCAGGGGAAGAGAGGCCTGCTGATACCTGGGACTTCAGCCCCCTCTGTCCAGGTAGAATAATAGGGAATAATAGGGAGAAGATGGGAAAAAGAAAGGGATCCCCTCTTGTGTGGGAGTAGAGAAAAGAGAGAGAAAGATGAAGAGGTGGAAGGAGCAAGATGAAAGAAGAGCAGAAAGAAACTGTCCTTATGCACAGGCAGGTTTTGTACAACAATTTACAATTTAGCCGTTGCCTTACCCCGCCCAGCTGTTCTCGGTAGGAAAAAAACCTGCTATTATTCCTACTTGACAAGCAAGAAATCTGAGAATCAGTGAGGTTGAGAGAGATTCAAAAAAGTGAAGTGATTTGCTCAGACTCAGACACTGTGCTAGATAAAAGCAAAGGAGGCCAAAGAGACTTGTAAAAAAAAAGAAAAAGGTCTGATCAGGAAAGAAAATTCAAAGTGCAAGGGAGAAAGAAGAAGAAACGGTGGCAGAGCTGTGTCTGGACTTTGGAGACAGCCAAACTCGGGTCTAAACCCAGTTTCCACTGATGTTTGCCACATGACCTTGTGTGAGCTACACAATCTCTTGGAACTGTCATTTTCTCATGTATAAATCGGAGATGATGATATTTACCCAACAGGCTGTTATGAGCATTAAGGAAGATAGTATTATTTTTAAAGTTCCTAGCATCATGTCTGGCATGTAGTAAGTATTCAATAGATATTGAATTATTAGGGATATTGACATATTAGGGATCCCAAGAAGAAAGTATAACATAAGGGCAAAGAAGGAGCTAACTGGGGAAAAAAGGAAAGAGGGAGGCTTTTAAAGAGAAACAAAGAAATGCTGGGAAGGAAGAGAAAGAGGAAGGTGGAAGGACAAGAGGAGAGAGTAGGGTGGGCAGGGACCTGATAGGGAGGGCCACCTGTGCTTCAAGGGCCGCCACCAAGCTGGTCAGGATTCCTCAGTGGAAAGCAGCCTCTTGTCTGACTCGAAGGGCCTTTGCTATGTCTCTTGGGACAAGAAAGTCCTGTGCACTGTCACAGAAAGTGTCAGTAAGGACCTCTTGATATAAAACAGACAAAACACGGCACATGTCAGGTGCAGTTCCCCCTGGGCCTTTGGTTGGGTTTGTGGAGGGAAGGGGAGTTCTTTCTATAGGATTATTTCAGCAGAATCCCTCCCCTCAGTGGGGAGGAGGGACCCCACTGAGTAGAGATAAGCCAGCATGCGTGTGGAGGGGTAGAAAGGGCCAATAAGACTTCACTTATTCGGTGTGAATCTTGAGATGCTTCCCAGAGCCCAGGTTACAGCTGGGCAGGCTGAGGTGATTGGGCAGTAAGGAAAAGAGGAGGGAAATCCCTGGTCAACAAGAACCTGGGCTTCTCCTAGTGCTGCCCTTCCTCCTGTGGCCCGTTCACTTCTCTGAGCCACAGTGTCTGTGCTAGGGAAACCAAGAGGATCTGACTGAAGCTCCTTCCCCCAGTGGCAATGTGAAGATGAGGTGAGATAACAGATGTAATAAATGCTTTGGAACTGCCAAGCGCTGTGCATACATATTTATGGATTCTTTCATCAAACATTCTTAATGCTTCCTTGTGTCAGGCACAGAGTTATTTGTTTCCCAAGCATCATCTTGTTTAATCCTTGAAGTGACTCTATTTGGAAGGTAAAATTATCCCTATGGACAAACCAGGCAATTGATTCGTAAAAAGAATGAGTGATTTGCCCGGAGTTAAACAGCCGGTTAATGGTAGAGCCGGGATCTGACTGACTCTAAAACCAGGAAACTCCTGCCCCATATGGTCTCCCTAAAGCAGAACGGAATTGCTTCATTCCTGAGCACTGGACATACTAATCCAGTGCTGGGTCCCGGGGCCGCAAAAGAGTTCCAGATGAAGAGAAGGAAAAAATCCTCATCTGTATGTCTTCTCCCCCCCAGGGTTTGATTTCTTTGAAGCCAGTGCCAAGGAGAACATCAGTGTGCGGCAGGCCTTTGAGCGCCTGGTGGATGCCATTTGCGACAAGATGTCTGATTCGCTGGACACGGATCCCTCCATGCTGGGCGCCTCCAAGAACACGCGTCTGTCAGACACCCCACCGCTGCTGCAGCAGAACTGCTCGTGCTAGCAAGGCCCACCCTCCTAACGCCCCTCATTGTGACCCCACACTCTGCTTCTCCCTGTCACACACTGTCCACCCCAGCCCCAAGCAAGCTGAGTCACTCCTGTTCTTTGCCTGCCCCTGGGGCTCTTTGCAGATGGCCCTGATAACAGCCAGCCAGCCCTAGACTTAAGAGCACAGGTCACTGCATGGGCGGAGATTCACTTTACAAAAGAAGAGTCCATTTTTACAAAGGGGATTTACTCTAGGGACTTGGTAAGCGAGTTTCTTTCCTGCCTTTAAAATGAGAGTCCCTCCATTTACCAAAATTTGACACGCACACACGCTTTTCAGGGGCTGGCCAACTGTGTAAAGTGAGGGCTCGCCTACACAGCTAATCCTATTAAAGAAAACCTCCCAAAGCACAACATGCTTATTTCATAACAGGCTCCCTGCGGAGCTTTCTCTCACTGCAAGTCAAGCGTCCGCTCTCAAAGCCTCGTGCCTGTTACCACGGATGCCCACAGGGCCTGGGCAGTTGCTGTGGTGACAGGCCAGAGCTAATCTTCAGAGAGTTCAGATTCTCTAATGATGCTGCAGGAGCAAAGGCTGAATCAGAAACACACTTAAAAGAGAAAGATTGTCCCCTGCAAAATGTCAAAGGTTCTTGCTATATGAAAAGGCGAATAAGTGAGCTCAGGAAAGAAAAAGAGGATC